AGCCACGTAAGTTCGTCCACCGGCTCTTTCAACTCTATCGTGTCCTGGATTTCTAATTATCACAATCTGTAGCGTCGTTTTCTGTTTTCCCACAGTGCGCGCGAGACGCAGACGAGGGGCAGCCGTTTTCACATGCGTTCGCGAGATTTCGCTTCTTGGTAACAAGTCGCGTCAAGTTGTAGTTTTGTCGCTCGACGTTGCGTGAGAGAACTTTCCGAGGGCTCTGAACTCTCTTGCACATTCGACTGCCGACACGTAAGTCTGTCCCGTTCGGCAAGTTCTTCAGCTGGATATGTTGTGTATCGTTTGATCTGTTTGCCGCAGCGATCGAGAGGCAGACAATGAGCGACTCCGAAGACTCGGATATCCTGGCCGACATCCAGGCTCTGGACGAAGCTTTAGCCTTGTCGGCGAGGAAGAAGTCCCAGCCATGTGCTAGCAGCAGCAACCAACTGTCTGACGTCTCGTCCGAGGACTCCAAGGAAAGCGACGATTACTTGGATTATCTCCGTACGAATCGGTCTATCGATTCAACTCTGAACGTTTACGAGATTAACACAAGGTTAATCGCGGGCTTGACGATAACCAAGAAGAAACTGACCGTTTTACTGCAAGAGTGCGAGCAGAAGATAAAGCTGCTGGACGAGAAAATTATGAAATCCAGGGACGAGTTGAGCCTTGGCTCGAAATTGGCGCTCAGTAATGCTGGTATGCCATATTTTAAGGACAAGGGCTACTTCAACGCTCCCAAGAATAGTGATGCCAAGCGGAAAGAGGCCAATGGCGAGATCTTTCTCCCGTCTCTGAAGAAGCCGAGTCGCTGGTCGGGAAGGGACAGAGATACACTTTTAAGCGCCATAAACAACCAAGTTCTCGAATTGGTACTGCGCTGGGAGTACAACAACGAGACTAACAAGTCCACGTCTGATGATCAGGCGAGGGAAACGAAAGCGGTGCTCCCCAGAAACTTTGACGAGATGGTGGGACCGGTGGGCGGGGGAGAGTTCGACTGGCACAAGATTTCCGTTATAGATTTCGACAACAAGCATTCACCGGGCGAGTGCCAAGCTATGTGGAACGTTTACCTCCACCCCGACTTCAAGAAGACTGAATGGACGAGCACGGAGGATAACAGACTGCTGGAGTGCGTGAAAAAATACAAACACCAAGACTGGGATGCTATTACGCAGGAGCTAGGGACAAACCGTAGCGCGTACCAATGTTTCATTAGATACAATACCATTAAGAAAGTGCCGTCGGCCGGATGTCCTTGGACCAAGCAGGAGGATAAGCACCTTTTGAAGATTATAAATGTGCTCAGGGTCGGTAACTTTATTCCCTGGGCCGAGCTCGCCAATCACATGCGGCACAGAACCAAGCAGCAAATTTACGTTCGATGGGTGTACAGGAAGGCGCCGCATTTGAGGAAGGGTAGATTTACTGGCGCGGAAACGTCGACTCTCCTGACGGCGGTACAGAAATACGGAACGAACTTCTGTAAAATTTCAAGCCACGTGATGCCACATCGGACCTCGATACAACTCCAAGGGCATTACGACACGGTGACCAGTAATTTAAAAAATAAAATAAATCGGTGGACGATCAGCGATGACACAGAGTTAATTAATTTGCAAATAAAATACCGCAACGACTGGTCCAAGATAGCCAGGTTTTTCCCGAACAAGTCAAGAACACAAGTGAGGCATCGATATGGCTCGTTAATAAGATACATACAAAGAGGTTTCAGTCTCGAAGCTATACCTAGACCGTTCAGTTCGATTTGCGAGAGAAAACAGCTTAGAAAGAACCAGTTATCCAGTAATGCGTCAAAAACTTGCAATAAAGTAAGTACGCTAAAGCCAGTGCAACGCGTACATGGTTTTGATATTCAACGGAAGTTGTACGAAACTCTTTCTTTCCCACCTGAGGTCCGAGCTAGTAATTCTGAAGTAGCGCCTTTCGACGTCGAAGAGCTTGCGCATTATACTAAAAGATTGTTCAACACACTGACCTTGTTAAAAGCCAATCTTGATATTCCGGAAATCGATTTTCTGCATTATGTGCAATTGAATGACAGGGAAAAGCAACTCTTAGTTTCTTTACAAGAATATATAAACGTGGTGAAAAATAACGGAATAGCGTATGAAGAACTAGTAGAAAAACGTAGAACACAGATGTTCGGTTGCACCCCAGAAGTTGGCGAGTTTTTTGTACCGCCACTTCCGTTCGACGGATACGTAAGATTACTCAAAAAGACTTTAAAAAAGAAAAAGAACACGTCGATAGATTACAATTTAGATGATAACAAGAAGTTTCTTATCGACCTTCCTATAGACTTCTCTTTAAATGTCGACGTGCTGCCTTTTATTACTCTCGAGGAGGAGATACAATTTCACAAATTTGGTCACTTTTTATCAACTAATTACCATGATTATGACTTAAGAGATATAGATCTATATAAATCGTTGAGACACATGAAATGCGTCCTCCATTTACCTGAAGAAACCCCTTCACGTTCAAATATAGCTTTACCGGACCATCTAGAACTGAATGTACATTCAAAAGTATGTTTGGAAGATTACGAACAACTAAATGAGACGAAGGAAAGTGTCAATATTAACGAAGACGATGAAGTGGTGAACACGAATGATACAATTCTGCCGAGTCAAGCGACTTTGTTAGGGTTGAAGAATTTGCTCCTTTGGAAATTACTGTACGACTGTGAAGCTGAATCTCGTCAACAGTGCGAGGCGATGGCGTCATTGGTAAAAAAGCGAGATCCAGAACAAACTGCGGCGAATTTTCAGAAAACGGAGAGCGCAGAGTACAAGTTACTGCGAACTCGCCTACTGCAATTATTTAAGTATCCTATAAGTTTGTCAAACACCATACTGCAAATGCAAGGGCCGGAAAAGATATTTGTAGTAAAAGAGAAATCGAACAAAGGTCAGAACAAAGAACAAACGTTTCAGACGAGAAAAAGAAAATATGTAAGTAGAGCGCAATTAAACATTCCGGCTAATGTGAAATCTGACGTTACAACGCGAAATCTTCCTGCAGTACGTAGCTGTAAAATAGTTTGCAAGAAATACAAAATCGTCGAAAAATAACACGTGATTCTCGAAACCTTTAAATATGAAATTAGCTGTAAGAAGCATTACAATTTTATTTTTCTGCACAAACACATAATACATGTTTTTTTAATTTACATTTTCGTTTACATTTTCTTTTATATTAAAATAAATGGGCGTAGAAAAAAAAGACTAGCTTTTATTTATTACAAATACAATCTTCTGAAAATAATTCATAATGTATTACGTAACTGTGATAATTAACAATAGTGATCTGGAAAGTTTATATATATATATGTATAATGCATGCGCATGTTACAAATACATGTATCTATAATTGTAAGTAGGATATAAAATTACATTTACAGAGTTTAGGAAGGCCATAAGAACGGCTATTGACAAATATAGTTTTAAACAAATATACGTTCATCGAAACCTATTTACAGTCCGTGTAAATAATATCGAGAAACTTGTAATGTTTGTAAAAGACGTTAGAAAAAATGCAATAGCAATGAGTTATATAAGAAAATATGCTTCATGTGTACTGAAGTATCTCTCTTTTTCCCTTCTTCTGTTTCTTATTTTCATGATAATGGATATATTTTTATTTCTTTCATTATAAATACTTAATAATATCATTCTTAAAATCAGCAAAGCCAACGCTAATGAGCGATGCAGTAATAGCATGAAACGAGAGATCCAATTTACACATACATACAACATATATATGTATTGAATATTACAAATTATATCACAATTTTTGTAACGAATGAGCACAAAACGAAATGCAGATTATCAAAAGCGTAAATGGGACACATCATAGACTTTGAACGTATTCGTTAATCAGACACGTTAAATGCTCTAGCAAATGTTAATTTATGTAAAATAAAATGCCTTTTTCTCCTGTCACGAGTTACCTTAGTAGATTTGCTTTTAATATGTCACTGTGTTATTATACATGACACAATAGTTAATATTGTCTAACAGAGATCTATCAGATGGGAGGAAGAAATGCAGATGTATATCTTACATGCAAAAAGTACTTTGTGCCTCTAAGTTACACTGTATGCAATTAATTTTTACTCAGCTGATGTATGCATATTTTACAGCTTGGATTTTATATTTTGTTAATATTCAATACCTTGTAGCTTTGTAACTTATCAAGTTTTTATGATTTTCGCTACCGATAACTATTTCTTTTTTGACGAACTGCTGTAACCTGTTATGAATACCGTGCAACCGGCCGTAAAAAAGCCCCATAAAATTAGACTCGGCTCTGCTTTACTGACCAAAGACCTCAAGCTGTCCAGAATCAATTTGAGTGGTTCGTTTGCGACCTTGACAGCCGGCTTCTCCTGAAGAATCTTCATTTTTGTCAGATATTCGATAAGCGGAGGATGACTGTGGCTGAATACCGGGAAATACTCTCCTATTCTTTCTCTGGTCCACCAAGCACGAGTACTCGATCTGTACGCAAGAACAATAAGATTAAATATATATTCTAGTCTATTACATATTCAATCACAAGTAATCGCATATATTTGAAGTACATGTGTTTTATTAGATTGTACTCACTTTTGGTTCCATGGCGTATAATGATAATAATAAAGACTAGCCCTAACATATTTCGGCGGTCTGTCTCGGAAAGGATTCTCGACAGTATTCATTAGCGCCAATACCTCGGGCTGTCCGCTCAATAAACGATAGGCTAGCGACATCAACCATGGATTTTGATGATATGTACCTAAAGCAGCGAACCACATTTGCCAATCGAGACGAGGTTGATGGGGCGCTGCAAGAAAGAAATATCGTTAAAGAATTTTTATCCTCGACAAATGTTTAAAATGTAGCTTATTAACAAGCCGAAATAATGCATTAACCCAAAATAAATTAGGCTTATAATGGGTTAACGTAAACAGAAACGCATAATACATAAATTACGTGAAAATATCTCACCAACGAATGGTAGTGAGTTGTTAACATTTCCTGGTTTATATAAAAATTCATATTCCTTCCAGGGCCCGTCCAAGCTATTGCTTCCCTCTATCACAACTTCGGGTCTACCATCGACTCCCGTCATACGACGGAATAGTCCATAGCTATTCGCTATATGAAGATGATCCACTCTCGCATGTAACTGCTTCAGGTGAACAAGCATCGTCGAGTTGTGCGATTGATGCAAAGTGGAATGTGGTACCTGCGAGCGTTTATCTCACACTTTATATGTATGTACGTAACACGTTACGCATCGCGCTGAATCTTCAATAATTTTTTAATAAACTTAGACACACGTCAAATTGTCTGATTTTCTTACGAGACTTACATGAAAAAGGATGGAATAATAAGGAAATATGTAAAATGGATACCGGAACTGGACACAGGGACGCTGAAGTATATCTTATTAGAAGAAAGCAAAATAGTCGAATTAAAAATACAGATAATAAGAAAAGCAATAAAATTCGAGGAAGAAGGAAGCAGATCACAGATAAGAAAATAAGAAAAGATTGCATAGAAGACATAAGAAGAGGAAGGCAAGGGAGGAAGAACGAAGATGGGAAAGAAAGAGAAGAGAGATATGGGAGAGAATAAATTTGACAAAGAAAGAAATGGAACAATGTAGAAATAAAGCAGTAGAGGAGCCGGTTATGAAGGCAGTAAGAGAAATGTGGAAAAAAAGGAATAAAAGAGTCAAGGTACAATTGGGTACAAACAAGTTACATACTATTATAAAAAGTTAACAACAGAGGACCACAATGGAAGGAAAAGAGAACAGGGAAAGGAATATGAAAGAAAAAGGAAACAGAAACTGAAATTTATGAAAAAGATTGTAGGTGAGAGGAAGAGAAAAGGAGCAATAATTAAGAAAAATGTACTTAAACCGAAACTGTAAAGAAAGAACAAGAAGCATACTGGTAATTTAATGTAGATTGCGAGGATATATATATATATATATATATATATATATATATATATATAATGAAAATATATGTTTGTACGGAAGTCCATCTAAAGCCGTCAGGCACAGATTAAATACTTACGAGACTGATAGCGAAGATCCAGCCTATAGCTGTGATGTACAAGATCGTCCTTAATAATGCCATGATTTTATCATACGTCGCTTTAGCGAAATATACAGAAGTAACTATTGAGTCCACTAGCGTTAATCCGAGAGATGCTAGACCGATGTATATAGAAAATAGCACTGCGCGAGACAGAACGTAATCAAATTGTTCTGGCGTAAATGCTATGAAAAGAAAAAGGAGTCGGTTATGATCCAGTGCAAACGCTAAATTGTAAGATCCAATTATTATTAGTCGTTAATAAGTACTGATATTAGATTCAATGGTCCAGTTGTCCGTTATCTTGAGACCGTAAAAAAAATATGTCCCGTATATCACTCCTCCATAAACCAATACAGTTATTAGCGTAGACAGATAGTTCTTGACACGGGACTTATCGTTTTTGGATTTTCGTTTGTAAAAGAATTGATCGTCTAGCAAGGATATGCACAGACAAATGGTAAGGAAGTTAAAGAAGTTGTAGTTTCCAGTCGCGATAATGCAAACTTGTAGAAGCACCTGAAACAGTAACGTTAAAATATTATAATTCAAGAAAAAGCCAACCAATTAATTAATCAGACCAAGTCCATATTTTGTCACAGTCTATTGTAGACAGTTAATTACATACCTGTAAATAAAATGCTATTAGCCTCACTTTTCTATTTGGGAAGAAAAATAGAAATGGTATAGCGAGCTCTGCGACGTTTGTACCAACGGTGGACAATCGAAGGAGCCACGTTGGCAAATGATGGGCGTACCACGCCAGAGGAGTTGGTATACATTGCGATTCAAAATGGATATTTAGAGCTGCGAAACATTAAGTAATGGATATATCATAATTAACGTATATACATTGCGCATATTAGATTTGGTGAAAACGATTTTACCATCCAACTTCCACCAAACTGGACAGTCTGAAGTGAATTTCACTACTCCGCTGGCAAACATGAGACGGAAGAGCAACCAACGCACAGCCCAGAGGGTTACACTGTCGCTTTGCCTCCCGCGATAAGGATACCAAAACGGCGCGATGAATACGCATAGAAATCCAGCCTCCAGTAACAGAACGTCCCTACAAATCGAATGCGCACACAGGATTTAATTATCAAGCAATTAAATTATTTGTATAATCAGGCAAATAATACAAAAGTATAGACACCTTGTAACATACATTCCAATTTCTTTTTAATTGTGGTGTACAAGAATGTTTTCGTAAACAAACGCAAAGGATTTGAGTTCTTGAGAAATCCATGTGTAAACATAGATAAAAACTGGTACGACTCACCATTGGAAGAACATAAATGTTTGACCGATCTGGTATAAGGAATAATACAGGGACCACAGCCCTACGAACACTGGTGCGATGCAGAACTTCTGCGTGATAAACCTGCAATGAAATATCAATTTCAGGCGTCAGCAACTACCGCCGCGCTTTCATGAGAATTACCATATTTGTGTTCATCAAATACAAAGCTTGATTTATAATGTGCTCTTTATGTCTAGACATTCTACTTTATATAAGCGAATCAAAACGGTTCGAAAACCGTTTATTGACAACATACAATGTATTGTACGATGTGTAATGTACAATTTGTAAACTTGCACGGATATTTTAAACGTAGAGGAAAGCACAATCAATTTTCCGCTAAAGAGATTTCACTCCAAGAGCAATAAATTCATGGTGGAACCAACAGATGACGCATATTAATTTAGCAGAAACTCCGCTATCTCACATTACAAGCCCATCTCATAACAGGGGACTCTCCTCTATTTATTGGCTGCAAAATAGAATGCTTCTAGAGGCAAAGAGCACATTGTTTAGATTAGGTTCAATAGAATTTATAAACGGCATTACTTTTGGACAAATCATACACTTTACAAGTATCCCCATATTAGAAATATCCCCTTAATCTTGTCATTTTCGAAAGTACCCTGCGAAGGAGAAAACAACTCCGAGAAGGGCCAGCACGTCCAGCATGTATTCGACGTTCAAGCCCAGATACGGCGCCAGCCACAGAAACGTCGGCTTCTGCTTGAGCTTGTTGAACAGCGTCGCGCGTCCTTTAAGGTCCAGCTGCGTCCTAGCCGGTAGGAGCCCATTGTCGCCGTACAATCCTGTTACATTTCATCAGTTAATAAACGTCGTGCGGTTAACACGTCGTGCGCGTCTTAAAGGCTGCGTTCGGATATTCACTCCCAGTACTGAAAATCTATAGTTTACGTCACGTACACTATACATTTTAAGTGCTGAGAGTAAACATTGGAACGCAGCCAGAGCAAACTCCACATCGTCTTTACATCTCAAAGTTATATTCCAAGATTACACTCGACTCGCGGCGTCGAAATGCGGGATTTCGTTGCGCAACGAGCAGGAAGTAAAGGCAATCGCATCGCTCGGATACCGGGGAGCGCGAAGGACGTTCTCAAGTGCGCCGCGTGTAAGCGTCGCTGATCAACGTTTTATCGCTCACCGCGCGGCACGTAGCGTGTCGCGCGTCCTTCGCGCGTTCCACGCCGGGGAGTCCCATGGTCGTGAACAGAAAAAAAAATAGCCGCGCTGGTGCCCCTCGGTCCGAGGGACCGCGGTACGCCTCACCTGGTATCTGCACGTAGAAGCTGAGGAACGCGAACAGATATATGATGCAGATCCCGCGCAGGAAGAGATTACGGGTGTACCGTAATTGCGCCATAATTGCGATCGCGAGTTTTATGTGAGAAAGTCCGCATTTAACGACGGGTAAATGCGGGAGTAACGCGCGCGAGCGAGCGGGCGAACGAATGCCGGGTCGGGCGCGATTCACGCACACAACACAACACGGGACCGATGCTATGCCGATCCTTGGATAGCGGCGAACCACGACGCAACACAGTCGCGTCGGCGTGGCACACGTATGGTCGGTGAGGCGCGACCACAGACCTCTGTATAGTGTATACGTGTATACTACTGGTAACGGGAGCAGCGATGTCAGACGGGTCGCGTTTTTCGCGCATGTGATTGGTCAATTTCTTCCGACACGACTTACTACATCCTATGTAGACCCTGCTTAGGCCTGTTGGGCTGGGTCTACATAGGATGTGTTCGAAAATGGATTTAGTTACTGCCAGTGAAAACAGTATAGTTGGTAGCAATGAAAATTACTGGTGCTGCGTTTTTCGCACGCCAGTAAAGTCAGTAAGGCTGGGTCTACATTGGATGTCGTAAGTCGAATAATGAACTGTGATTGGTCAATTCCTTCCGACACGACTTACGACATCCTATGTAGACCCAGCCTTACACAATACGTCGTATGTCGCTGTCGGATGTCGGGACGTGGTCGATGGTCCAATAAGAAAATTCCTTAGAATTTTCTTATTGGACCATCGACCACGTCCCGACATCCGACAGCGACATACGACGTATTGTGTAACAGGCCTTAAAGGCCTGTATCCACGATGCTAGAACTTGGTCCAAGTTCTAGTTTCGAGAAATGTGTAGCCAATCAAGTTGCAGCTATTCCATAAAAGCTGCAAGTCGACACAGGCCTTAAAAGCAGAATTTTTACATACGTTTCTCCTTCGAATATATTCAAGAATCGAGCCCGTGGGCCTAAATTCCGTACACGATTACCGACGACCATCGATACGTTAACGACGTTTGCGCAGCTTTTCTATCATGTAGAAAAAGCTGCGCAAACGTCGTTAACGTATCGATGGTCGTCGGTAATCGTGTACGGAATATAGGCCCTGATATCGGCCGCGTTCAGCAGACACAATTGTTGAATTGTTGAGTGAGCGCTAAATGATTTCTTAATGTGATCGGCTGGATCTAAAAGTATTAACCAATCATACTGAGCGCTCACTCAACAGTTGTGTCTGCTGAACGCGGCCATCAAAACCACTTCATGTGCAACAGCCGTTAGCGCGATACTTCCGATGCGCATGCGCGTTCATCGTTCTTTCCGCATTCGTCACTTCCGGAGAGAGCGCTGGACTGAGAGAATCGCGTACCATATTTATCGTTTATCTCTCGCTTTTCCGAGTAGCGTGCAATAATAACGCGGGGCGTGAGAGCGAAGGGTATCGGGGTGTGCTGCGCGTCCTCCTGATTCATTAATTTGTCAAAACAATTAGGTGGGACCCAGGGGGAGGAAAGTCGACATAATGCAAGGTGTCAGCATGGCCGAGCGACTCGGCCTGGGCCCGGAGGTCCGCGAACTCAAGCTGGGGTCCAGCTTCACGAGCAACAGCACCAAGTTTCACACCTTGAAATGTAAGTGTCCAACCTGCGAGGCTGGAGGGTCTCGATTCTTCAACGATTTGGTATCTAGAGATAGGAGTCTGGAGCAAAAGCGAGACACCTTAGCCGAAGAGAAAACGGCGATTCTGCGAGGGTACACTTGATTTCAAGAATATGTCAGAACGTTTCTGAGCGTGCGATTCTTCCAGATGACTTCAAGCCCGCGAGCGTCGACGACTCCAAGGTGGCCAGAGTCGACGTGGGCTCGGACAACACGATAACGGTCACCGTGCCACATCTGGATGGCGCTGGCACTCCTCACACCGTGTTCAAGGGCTCGCAAAGGCCCTACAACAAGGAGTACGTCCTGATCTTCGACAAGGTCACCAGGGAGATCACGCTGGAGAAACTGACTGGGAATATTCAAGTTAAGAAGACACGGTACGTATTTCTGTTGCCAATTTGGCGTGATTATTGGAGGAAAGTCCCTCATTATGAGACAGCGGAGTTAATTTTGCTAAATTAACAGGCGTCATCTGGTCCTACCATGAATTTATTACCCTTGGAGCAAAATCTGTTTAGTGGAAAATTTATTGTTAGATTGCGTAATCGCCGCGAAAAAAGATTTGCGATTGAATTTGGATATTGAAAACCTGCTATCTCATAATAGAGGATTTTCCTCTATATGTATATTCTGTCACTATCGAGTTGTCATTGCAAGTCTTACTTCTCGCAGAGCGGAACCCAAGCGTAATAGCAATAACAATTCAATGCCAGTTGAAGTTAAGAGGAGTCCCACGTATGGCAGGGCGAATGGCAGGACCAAAGTTATTAGTGGAAAGAAGAGGGAACCTTCGCTGCAGCTGCATCCCAAACAGAGCCCGCAGCAGACGTCGCCGTACGACAAGAGAAGTCCACAGACTATTTCTATTAATAGGTAAATTCAGATACTGAAAAAGTAAGAGTTCTAATAAAATTTAGTCCCATGCTGGTTTAAATATGTTGTCACTCCATTATCGTTGGTCATACTAGCTTACATTCAACTTTTTCATTTTCATTTTCATTTTCTAAACAAGAAGATTGAATAAGCCGTAACATAATTGAATGACAGCTCATCGCCTGTGCAATTGTCGAGTGGACAATCAACCTTGGCCAGTTTGCCGATGATCGGCTCCGACAACGATGACTTTGCGCCCTCAACGTCAATGATGGCCGGGTCTTCCTCTATGCAATCTGTAGCTTCTCAATCAATTTCAATGCCAAATACAAAATCAAGTACCTTAGAGAGCGATTCCAGCTCGAGCAGCTCAAGTTCCGACAGTTCAAGCAGCGATTATGAGACTGAAACAGTGCCAACAACAGCAGTTAACGGTAAATAGAATGTCTATTAATTTTCCAACTTTTTTCTGTGTCGGTGGCATTTTACGTTTATAATTTGACTTTTATTTGTCAACTCTCTCTGTTTAAAAATTAACATGTTATTCCTTTTTAGGAAATTCAAATGGTACAACTTTCTCACCCACGTTGTTTGCCATTCCATGTCCACGTCCACATTCCATGCCGGACTACCTCTTAAACGATGATCTGCAATTATCTGAATCAGAATCAGATAGTGATTAACGATGATACGCTAGTAGAATTAAGATGAAATATTCCAAGAAAGCCGACTATACAATTTTCGTTCTGCGGTATCTCTCTGTCAATACATCGAGGATTTCACGCCAATTCATCGAATTCCTTAAAATTTTTATACCATCGTGTCGCAATTGTAATGGGTGCAATTATTTTTTTACGACTCTAAAGAAGCAAATCCTAGTAATTCTAATATTTCGGGACTAAACTAACACTGTACCAATTACGAGTATTTATTGCGAGAATAAAATGTACAAATAAATAAAATGCTCATATATAGTTGACACTGTATATAAATCTATAAAAATATATCTAGCAAATGTATATTGAATCTCTTTCTACCTTATAGATAATTATAAACTTATCTACTTTTTGCTTGTTCTATAAAAATCTAAAGCATTTACCCTGAATAATACAAATTGCAATAAATAGCGTTTCTCTTTGTAAATATTGCATATCGCGATCTACGTATTTTTACGTATGATAGCTCTGATAATCTAATATCAGTCTAGCCAGTTGACTACGTTTACCCAAGTGGTCGGTTCTCAGTTTAAGGCAACTCTTATAAATACTGTCGTTGGAAGCGTCGCCACAGCTGACATCTTTGTATTTTATCTTCAGTGTCGGCTCTATCGCGCGAAATACATGCATATCGCTGAACGACACGTACATTTCGAACAAAGAAGTTACAGGGCTGTGCTTGGAAAGTTTCAGCAGAATGGCAATGTCCTTGTCCGAACGCGCTAATGGAATGTTCGCCTCGACTGTCTGCCGCACTGAAACACATTTCAACGAAAACATAAAGTTTATTCGCACCAGAAATATTCGGACTTCACGAGGCGAGTCGGCGAGAACGTATGCATACTTGCGTTGTAATCTTTAATGTAAAACGCGATGTTGTTGTAGTTCTGCTCGTCATATTTCCCGTAGTTGCTGTTGACGTCCACTTCGTCGTGAGCTGCTTCGCTTGCGTAAATTATATCGGGATGGAACTCGATGAACGGGATCGGGCTGAATATCTGGTAGCGACCAATGGTGTTCATTCGAACCTGGTACAAAATAATGAATTGACCTGTACTCGAAGTAATCACATTTATTAACGTTAATACGCGTTAATGTGCACACACTTACCCTGTTTAAATAGTCTACTTTCAATTTCGTCCCCATTTCTACGAGAAGAACCAGACTTTCCGACGAGAACTTCTTCGCACACAAATCGGTCACGGCGATCCTCAACATCGGATCCAGATCCACGGAAGTTACGTTGACTGGCAATCGTATTGACAGCCAAGTAATCTTAGATTGGTCCTTTTTGTACTTGTCGTTCAGCATTGACACGAATGTTTTTACTTCGTAATAAACGTCACCTCTGCCTTTCGACGGTGAATCTGAATTGTACAAGAGAACCTGCAAGAGCAACGTTGTATATAAATAATATGTATATTTTTATTTAAAATACAGAGCTTATAGTCGACCAGACTGGCAAAATTTGAATAGTTTATTCTATACATGTTTCAATTTTGCCAGTCTGGTCGACCATAAGCTCTACATTTTTTATTTAATTTTACCGCTGATGACTACAAAGACACTCAAGCATGTACATTTTAATATTACTTATAAAATTATAGCTATACAATATTACCAAAATAGTATATTTTGAAACGTGGCTGTACTAACCACCATGAGGGAGGTCTTGCATTTCTTTTCTATACAGTTTTGTGCGTAGTGCTCGATAAAATTCAGCGCGTCCTGCTTTCTGCCCAGATCGACAGTGATAATTATATTAATTCTCGTATTTTCAGTCACGTAAGGCACGGGTATAATTTCTACTTTCCCCAGCGGCTTGCAGATCTCGACTCGCTTCCTTACTTCCTTGCCCGTGGCCACCTCGCTAAATATCAAGTCGAGTATATAATCCATCCCTCTGGACGCGTCGAACTTGAGGTAGCCATTCAGCAGTCTTGCAAAGCTGAGTTTGTTATCGTATCTCTTTACAATATTGTCCACAGCTGTGTTTATCACGTAATCTATGTCGGCCTTTGTGTCGCCCTTCAGCTCTTGGATGTTAATGAAGTCGGTCTCGAAGAAAACGTGAGACACATTGAAGTAAGACCAGCGCAAGACGTCGAAGCGTCCGAGAGGTCTGTTTCCAGGTTGATCTCCAATCGGCCACGATACGTTACGTTGACTCGGCGGGCCCAAATATGCAGTCGCGGATATTACCTTGCGCACGTCGGCGATCTGTTTGTTAACTTTAATGGAATTTATCTGAAAGGAAGAACGTGTTATATAGAAAACTGTGTTACATGTTACGGTATTCTGTAGTAGACCATATGCAAATCACATCTCGCAAAATGCTTGACAATTTACATAACATTTCAGAAGACTCACCGCAGCGAAATACATGTTAAATTTATAAATGAGCATGTGATCGTAGACGGGGTATACGGAGAGCGAATTCTGGAATTCGTTTTGCTCGGCCAACCGAACGAAATCCCTCTCGAAGTTAAACGTGGGTGACAACTGTGTAAACGTGAAATTTCGTCCTTGCGTATGACTGACGCAGGGCATAGAAGTGGAATGGAGAATGCAGCGACCGAAATTAATGTCGTCCGAGTCTGAATATGCGTTCTTGACGCACCAATCCAGATTGCTTTTCATCTCTCGTACAACAGAATTGCTCAAAAGTATACCGGACTCTGAAAAAGAAAGTAATTCTAGCTTCAGTTAATTATCGACCAATTGAAATCCACGTGATTATAAATCTGTGTCGTTTACCCAGAGAACAGTAGGTATCGATTTCGCTTTGAACGCCGGTGTGAACGTTTTGGCTCACAGTGATTTTATTCACGAACTCCACCAGGGCTCTTGCATTTACATAACTCACGTCCTTAATCAGAAAGTAATAATCGTAGCTCTCTAAATAGTTATCAACTATGTATTTCATGGCGTGGAAAGGTTTCAGGATGTCCCTCGTGTCGGTGAACCCGACTATGCCGGGGAAAGAAACGTTTGGCTTGGTCCCCTCTGGTATGGAGATGAAGTAGCGAATTTTATTCACTATATGAGCAATCGTCTTGTTCAGCGCCACGTCCCTGCTGTGCAGATGCTCGCGGCTCGTTATAATGCCCACAAACAATTTCTCCCTGATCCCAAGCTCCGTGGAGTAGTATCTCGGGCGTACAAATGACTTCCTCGCTTTCTGCATCTGTTGCGGCTTGCTGTCGGTGTTTATTCTCGGCTCGTAGGGGTCTATATCCTCCAAGGTGTTCACGGAGTGATCGAAGGACTCCCCTACGTCGTGCTGTCTGTCTAAGTCAATCGGTATCAGCAGGAGACTGAAACTTAGGCCCATGCATATACCCATTATCAGGTATGCGTTGCTCCAACAGAATGAATATAATATTTTAAGCAGCGTCTTCATTTTGCTGCGTCTGAGAAGCCTTTGTTCTTCCTTTTTTGGATTGCTTGTCGTTTAGGAGAATAAAAATTATTTTCGAGGGTCGCGCAAGAGACAAGTTTCTTCTTTATCTTCAAACATGCTCCAGGATACGAGAGATGTCGAAAGACGTGACACTGTATAACGTTTGGCAGTACCTACGGAAATAAATATTCTTATAGATTCGATATACAGTCAATTCAATATTTATAATAAATGTATTAAACTCTTACAATACACGTGATACTAACTTTTTTTTTCTACGTTTCCTTGTCAAAATGTCATGATAACCTTAACTTTTAATCACCGACGAGATTCCATGTGTATATACTCGCGCGTCACGTGGATTCGATTTAATCTCAATTAATTTTGAACAATAATCGAATCATAATCGTTTGTATTACGTTTACCGATTTCATGTGTGCACAATAAATTAGAAATATAGAGTATTAGCTATGAGAGACGCGCGTTCCTTCTCCCTCTCTTCTTCTCTCACTTCTTTCTCTCTACTGTGCACTATACTGTTCGTACACATCTCCATCGTCATCGTGTCGCATAAGACAGTACAAACTTATAAGCAATTTCGCAAGTTATTTAACAATATCCATAAATATAAAATGTATAATACAAATATAACAATAATATATAATATGACAATAAAAAATTACTTTGTGTAAACCTTTAAAGTAAGGATAGATGCAATCTACTTATTAATATTCATTTTTATATAATGTAAATTTAATTAATTATAATATTAATAGAATTTTATTTAATTGTTAAAACTCGCAACCGCCTGCAGATTTGCAACTGTACATACACTAAATGGCTTGCATATCTGTAGGCGTTGGTCAACTTCGTACCATAATTTCGATAATGTCACGATACATATATGAAAGATGAATGAGGAATGATATACGCTACATAAACATATATCAATAAAATATGTATAATACAATAATCAACTAGTCGATTGAGAATCTTCTATGGGTGCGTTCAGGGAGCTCACTGCCCCAGCGGAAAAAATTTCTATAAATAACTACAAAAAATTGACTTGAAATAGAAATTTGTTTTAATTTTCATATCTTCGTTGAAACGTTAATTTTTTTTGTAAAAAGATCTACGAAATAGTACCACAAATTACAATGTTCTCAAATCAAGAAATTATTGCAAGTAGTATTTCATGAAGATGTACAATTTTGTAAAAATTAGCACAAAACTTTACTAGTTTTAAAAATTTGAGAAACTACAAAGTCTTAAAGGATTAAAACATCAGCTTGCTTGTAGAATATTAGAAAAATTAACAAACGTGTCTCGATTCTAGCATTTTCATGTTGATTTTTATAACACTTTTTAAATCCACGTAGAATTTCTTAGATTCTGGTACTATATTTTTTTTTTTGTAGAATTTTGTAGAATTGTTTCCGGCAGGGTATCAGCGCTATTTAGCGCCGAAAGCGTCATTCTATCCTTGTTGCTTCCCAGTGAGAAATGATTCGTCGATTGACCAGTCATTTCTCGCTGGACTATCATGTGTCAAAGAAAGGATGACATTTTCAGCGTTAATAGCGCGCTCCGCAAACGTAAACGGACAGGCAGGGATGCCTGGACACTTCTACAATTATAGAATACATCATAGAAGTGTCCAGGCATTCCTGCCTGTCTGTCTGTGTACCCTGTGCATAAAACCTTCTCGTTTGCGTTCGTCATTTCTTGACGTCACTCCTGTCAAAGTTCAGGAACTTCGTGAACTTCGTGTCGATGCATTACAAGTATCTTCTTTTACGTGACATTCGCTTTTTACATGGCAGTGAATCTATGTGACACATCGTATGATGCTCCATGGAAGATTCGTGCGAAATAGCGGCGACAGCACGCGCGAATCGTGAGCCAAGGGTCGCCTCCAAGGATGCCCGTGATATGACGCTATGCGAATTATTCTTTTCATCATATTCTACATTGCGACTTATGTGGCAGGGATCGCGATCGGTGGCGATATCGCCAAAACGATGTCAGGTACGTTAATTACAAACAATTACTTGAACGTACGAAGTTCCTCTCGATCTTGTCATTAAGCAGTAAAGATTTTAACAGTTTTTACAGTGACGAAATTATCTCGTTGTTGATTAACTGATAATCATTCTTGTAACATTATCGCGCCTGGTTTCATTTTCTTTGAACGTTCGTAGGAGGAATGAGATACGTCTCCAAACAGAAAAGTGAAACAGCGCGGAGCGGAGTATCCGGAATGCCTATCGACAATGAAATAATCCGGATGATAAGTAAGCGCAACAGGCAATCGTTACTAGGTAATCGAGTCGACGGTTCTCCGCGAGGCAGAAGGAACAGCAACTTGGTGCGAGCCGAGCGAAGTCTGCGAAAACGGAAGAAATGTGGGAGAAACTCGAGTTGCAAGATCGCGCGTCGTCGACACTACGTGGACGATGATGATGTCGGCGAGCAGAGTGCCTCGTCGAACGCGGCGAGATTTCCCGTCTGGCAGGTTCCGGAATCAACGGCGCCCGCAATTAATTCGTGCTCCACGACGAATCCGACGATCATGGAAACAGAGATGAATAATCGATCGTCGCTCGCATTTGAGAGGCCGCCGTTGCAATTAGCGAATTTAGACCACCATCGCTCTGTAAATGGAGCTCCATTCCCCATCGGGCGATATCCAAATTCACGGGGATTATCCGATGTAAATGTTCCCAATGAGGATTCAATACTTTCCAAAGTCACAAATGCAAGATCCGAAAGTAAGGTCGGCGTGCAGGGCCCTGCTTTTGAAAGACCGACTAATAAAATGCTGCCTCCCGCGTATCGTCCTGGAATTCCTGCCGACGTGGACTCACTGAACCCTGGCCATCCGCAAGGATTTCAGCAGCAATACGGTGTACATCAGAGGGATTCTGCAAATGGATATAACGTTAAAAACGAATTATTTGACTCTAACAAAAGATTTCTGCTCGTACCGATTTCTAAGAATCTGTACGTCTTGAAGAACGTCCGAGAGAGTCCTCGAACAGGCGGAATTGTACCTGAGCGTTATAAGCTACCGGAAAGGAATAAGGACAACGCAACATCGGACACCCTCCCGTTCAAGGCGCGTATGCACCACGATGCGAAAGATGTAGGTAGAGCTCACTTTCAAGGAGGCAATCACCGTTTATTTGATCACAACGCGGACTTTCTACGTCCCACCCTTGTCACCGAAGAAATCGCGAACCCCACGGAAAACCCGGTGACTTATCGCGACTTCTTGTATCCGAGCATCGCCTCGCAGACTCGCAATTTACTCGACGCTACTCCTGAAATTCCCGACGAACAAACCGTCTCTCCCGTTCCGGATTACGCGAGCATTTCCTACGCGGATATTAATTTGCGCGGCGGCATCAATTCCTACGACTCGTCGGGATTTTCATCAACTTCTATCGACATCCCGAATGTATATTCGAAGGGAAATGACGGTGAACCGAGTGTCTTGCCTGCGACAGAATTAGATGATCGGATAAGTCCTCAACAACATAATGGAAATTACGAAGACTCTTTGGGATACAGCGGGTTTAATATCGAGCTGACGACTGCGGATTCCCGAGATACTTTTAGCACGCTCGACGACAACACGTATACGCCAGCCACTTTTGAAATGTACTTAACTAAAAAAGGGTTTGTATCACAAAATCTGGGAGACGACTCTACATTTTCGATAGGAGGTAACGAAGATGAACCTGTAACAGAATTTGCAGATGATATTTCGACGCGATGCAGAGCTGCCTTTGACGTGTCTGCAAACGACGATAATACTCTCTTTCCGAATGTTGCTTACACCTTCGCTGACAATGCCGGGGACGTTTTGAACAGTGAAGCTTTAGATAAAGATAGCCAAGAATATGGAATCTCGATTTCTAGCGAATATACTAATAAGTCAACTTATTCCAGTGATTTCGATTATAAGAATAGATCTATCGACGAAGCGTTCCTTAGTAATAATACTGCCGACGTGGATTTCTCTCTTAATGCAGAAGATTACGTGACAGCCGCATCGTTATTTCCAAATACCGAAGAATGGCCAGAGAAGGAAGCGCAATCTAATGTAGAAAACTCGCGCGTTTTATTAACGGCACTCAAACCACTGTCCTCGGAGCTGCAGAAGTTGCTGAGCGCAGTTAAGTTAGTCAACCAGAGCCTCAGCGACGTGCAGAGTAGACTGTGCGATAAAAAAAACGCAGTCAGGATCGAACGAGAGAGTAAAACTAGAAAAACTACGGATAAACCAGCTAATAAAGTAGACCGCTACGATTCTGATCTCTTTATAGAAAGTTTTAACAGTCAGTCATCCGACAAGAGACGCATTAAAACCAAAGGCGGAAGTGTCGCAGAACGAGACGTAAAAATTAGAAGAAGACCCGACGATCTCTTTTTAAATAAACTGACGACACCGTTTCATAAGCGCGAAAGTTCCACTAGCAATGCAGAAGTAGGCCGCAGAAACTTCCTCAAAAAGAGAAAATTGAATGAGAGAGAGTTTCCCAAATCAGGCGACGTTGAGAGGCGTAGATTGTCTCATTCGAGGTTTAACAGGAATCTAAAGTCTCTCACGAAGAGTTACGAGATGCGAATAAAGCCAATTCGAAAGCTTATCGAGACCGGATTAGAAAGGACGAAACGCACAACGACATCGATTAGATCGTCGCGTTTGATTAAAAGTAATATATTGAGCGCGCATAATTTTGCAGACAAACGTGCACAAAATCATCACAGAAATGATCAAATTAACCGATCGATAACTTCGAATAATGCGCCTTCGACATTTTTAGATATGTTCACCAAGGATACGTCAGCATATTTCTCGTCAGGTCGGCAAAATTTGCAACGCAATGTAAAGGCAGCAATGTCGAGCGAAAAATCTGATCCTGACAAAGAAAAAAAAATTCTTCCCATTGATCCGCAATTCTACAAGGAAGCAACTGGTTACCTCAATGTAATTCAATTGTTGGGTAAAACTGAGGAACCTCACGTAGAACGTGCGACCGATGTGTGGCTCGCGCAGAATCTTACAGAGTCTTTGACACCGCTGATCTTTACAACCACAGAATCTTCTGTGTCTGCGTTAACATTCCCGTACTTTATCGAGGAATCAACAATTGCAAGTTCAAGCACAATCGCAAAAGAAGCTACCGAGGTAACCGAATCATCCTTATACGAAGATGTAGCTTTCAAAATTTCGAAAACTACATCATTGACGCAATCGCCGATTACGTTGAGTGCTTTTACTATAACGATGCCAACTACGTCGCCACTATTTTACACGACAGAATTAACAGTTCTTCCGATTGAAGAAATCTCAACCACTGAGGTTAGCACTGAAAAAATGACTACAATATTACCTGTCGCGATCACTGAAGTAACTGGAATTCCTATCCCAATTCCAGCGATAGAATATTTTACAACCGAAACTGTCATGCTGTTAACTCCACTTTTGGAAGGAATGACAGATATTACTTTGAAGATTACAATCCCTGTAGCTACTGAAACTTCAATCGAAGAAACGACCGCGTTAATGATTGAAACCGCGATTACAGAGGAAGAAACTGTGGAAGGTACGTCGACTTTGGCGACGGAAATAACGCAAAGTTTGCTTGTTGAAACAGATGTATCTTTATATACATTTTCGACTGTATCATTATTCAAGACTAGAGAAGAGGAATTAGTGATTGAGAGTACATCTCCTACTGTATCAGTTTCAACAACTTTGGCAATTGCAAAAGGTTTCCAAACTGCCACATCAGGATCCACTTTTGGCTTGTATAATACTACTGTAATTATAAGTTCGCCTACGGTTCTAGAAAGGACAGAAATGATTCCAAGTACGTCGACAGAAGTTGCAACAACCACCTTAATTCCGGAGGAGGAGAGTCCAGTGACACAGATTGAGAAAACTATAACCGCGGAAGAAACAGCTACAGAAATCCCAACTGCAACGCCTACTGAAATTGCAATAACTACTACTGAAGTTTTAACAGAGGCTACCGAGCTTCCAACGTCTACGGAAACCACAATAACCGAAATGCTAACAGTTAATAAAACTTTAACAACTGCGGAAGCGTCAATATCTACCGAAACTCCGACAGCCAGTGAGATACCAACGACTGCAGAAGCTTCCACAATTACGGAAATTTTAACACCCGCTGAGATTTTGACAACTCTCAAAACTCCAATTATTAAAGAAACTACGAGTGCAGAAACTTTAACGCCTGCTGAAACTTCAACATCTATTAAAACTCAGACACCTACCGAGTTTTTAACATCCACAGAAACTATTAGCAATGGAACAATTACTGAAATTTTAGCAATTAATAAAACAACTGCGGAGACGCCG